ACACACAATAAATTATCTGTTTTTTTTCTTTTCTCAGAGACAGAGTTTCTCTGTGTAGCCTTGTCTGTCCTGAACTCACTCTCTAGGCCAGGCTGGCCTTGAACTCAGAGGTTCCCATCTCTGTCTCTTGAGGACTGGGACTAAGCGTGTTCCCCACTCCCAACCCGGGCAAATCTTTTAAAACAAATAAATGAAAGAAATGGCTGTTGGTATCGTTTCTGTTTCTTTTATGTTGTGTGGTATTGGGGCTCATGTCACCTTTAAGCTGCATCCCCAGACTTCACATCTTAACCTCTGCTTTGAAAGGCTAGTAACTCCATAGAAATAGAAATAAGCACTGGTTAATCATAACAAAAGCAGGCGGAAGGCAGTCTGAAGTGTGTGGCAAAAATTGCAATGTTCTAAATCAAAGCTTGACAATATAGCTACACACGGTACTGACCGGGGAAGGCAGAGAGTTTTCATTACATTTCCTTATTTAACAACATGTTTTCTCTGTGCACCAAGCTTTGAGCCCCAGAACAGTGTTTAAATATAATTTTAAAAGAATTCGCACTTAGATTGCCAGAGGAAAGAAGTCCAAGATTTTAATTCCAAGGTTGGCAAACATGCCAAAGCTTGTCTAAGGGAGTTGTTCAGTCTTTGATAAAAACAAGGCTCTTAGGATCACCTGGAAGTTATTCTTGCATCCCTACCTATCTCCCAGCCCCCACCCCAGCGGCTGACACTGAAATTCTTGGTCCTCACCTCGAGGAGAGGCTGTCATCCCAATATCTACCACTAGGGGGCACCCATCCCCAACTAGGCTTATTTCTATCTTGGGGGGAAAAGGCTGTGGTTTTCAATCAGTCAGCGCTGAGGGTATATTTTTCTTAGGAAATGTCCTTTATATGAAAGGAGAACATTATGTGTGTATTACTCTAAACATTTATTTAAAAAACAAAACAAAACTGGGCCTGGTGTGATGACACATGCCTTTAATCTCAGCACTCCAGAGGCAGGCAGAGGCAGGCAGATCTCTTGAAACAGAGGTCAACGGGTTTACATAGAGACGTCCAGGCCAGCCAGGATATATATAATAGTGAGCCCCTGACTCGGTGGTGGGGTGTGGAGTCGGGAGGGAATCACGAAAGGATTAGAATGGACATTGACTTGGGGGAGGGGCATGCCTAAAGTGACGTTTTCAAACCATGATAGACCCCAGTACAAAGTACACACACACATACACCACACTCATCAATAACTTAAATAATGCTGTGATGGTAATTATATAAAAACAAAAGAACAACTCATAATTACTTGTGTATTTTCCTAAATAAAATTTATGTATAAACAGAGCAGAAAATATATAACGAAGTATTCTTTAATTTGAAGCCACTGTTAAAATTCAGACAAATGCAGGTGTGTTACGGTGACAGCCACAACCCCTTGAATGGCACCAACTCATGGGAAATGCTCAAAGATGAAGCTCATGAGCTCGTACTATAGTCCCAGATAACTGGGAAACTGGGACAGGAGGATTCCATGAGCACAGGAGTGAGGTTAGCCCGGGCAACAGCAAAATTGGGGGATGGCTGGGGGAGGGGAGGGCAAAAGGTACAATGTGGTAGAGGAAGGAATGGGGTGAGGGAGGGCAGGGGAAGGGATGGGGCAGAAAGGGGATGCGACAAAGGAAATCCTGGTCAAGACCACATCAAAAGGCAAAAGGCACAGAGAACAAATAACTCTGGCAGGGTTTGAGACCAAGCTTTCCTGTTGTCCTCAGCTCTCGCCACCACATCACACTGCCCTCAGACACAGAGGTGACAATGCAGTTATAAACAGAGCCAAGTATATGACTTCAAATACCTTCATGTAAGTCTGTGCAGAACAAGAAAAGTTGACCCCTGGGGTGGAAATTACAAATGCATCATGGTTTCCATGAACAGAATTTGTCATAGAGATGGTGAAGGAATCCAGATTCAAACAGGGGGAGGGATGGGCAGTGGGGGCTTCTGCTGAATCAACACTGGCAATCGCAGGAGGCCACAATCCCCTTTACCTGTCTGATGGTGGTGAGATGAAGAATTACCAGAGGTGAAGATCATGCAGAGACAGCTAGATCCTCAGGATGTCACTCCATAAAGACAGGCCATGGCTGGAGAGGCCACCTGAAGCAGAGAAGAGAGGAATATGTAGCTTTCTCTTTTCCTGGCCCAGTCCAGTCTTCTGACAAATGTCTCCCCTGTCCAAACCCAGTCAGCAGTTGCAGAAGCCTACAAAACCACTCCTGTGCTAGTCACCTCTGATAACCCTAAAGATCCAAGGAGAAAGACCACAGACCCAAGCCATCATGGCCAAATTAGTCAAAGCAAGCAATTAATTAAAGCACGCTCTTTATTTGTGCACACAGGCTGCCTCCCTCCAAGGCAGGATTCAAGAGGTCTGTATGGTGCATGAGGAAGACAAAGTTTTTATAGTTCAGGGGTAGAGGGTTTCCCGATGAGGGATTTGGTGGGCAAAATAAGTGAGGTTAAAGGAGAACATTAATATAACTAAGTCCTAAAGACCTCCTGAAACAAAGACCGGACTGCAAGGTGCTTGTGAAGTAGTCATAACAACAGGTAGTCGTAATAACAGGTAGCCATAACAACCTTTTGAAACAAAGGTAGAGTTGCAAGATGCTTACAATAACTTTTTGGGAAAAAAAAAAAGACATGATTGTCATTCCTGGAACATGTAGTACAGAACATTTGCAATTAAGGTTACAAGTGGGGCACGGCCCAATCCTTGAGAAACAGATTTAATCATGAATAGGAAGGAACGAGCCTAGTTTGTCTTCACTAGAAGCTTTCAAGCCTAAGATGGAGGCAGGCTGGTTTGTCACTTTCAGATCAGAGGCTGATTAAAGGTCGACACTGCCCAGCAAAGGAACCAAACAGGCACAAGTACACCTTGTCTTGTTGTTCTACAGAGTAAAGAATTTAAGTTTGATTCTAATTATAAACCACTAATCTTTAGACTAGTTTTATTTAACAGAAGAAAAAAATATCTTTTCAAGTCATAGTTGACTTTTAGACATCTTGCCCACAGGTGTGTGTGTGTGTATGCTCTAGTGCCTGTATGTATGTGAGTGTGCATGTGTGTGCCTGTGTAGTGTGTTGTATGTAAAGTTTACATCCCAGGAAGCATACCTATGGAAGCCAGTTGTCTCCCTCTAATTCTCCACTTTACTCTCGAGAACCCGGAGTATTTTTTTTTTCTACTAGGCTAGCTGGCCACTGAGCCCACAGGACGGCACTGCAAGCATGCTTTTCCATCCACTGTAGGTCACTGGCAGGGAATAGGACTCCTCACGTTGTTACTGAAGGGGAGCGCTGGAGCGCCCTCTCGTGGACACAGTTAGCCAAGCGTGACTGCCGGCCTCTTCGTGGCCCACAATCTAACCAACTAGTGTCTTTTCCCTCCAAGCACTTCAAGGGGCAGGACTCAAAGAGTACTCATTACGGATTATATAGGGTGAGCTTCAGTTTCAGGAGATTTTCAGAAAAGTGTCTCGCAAAGTCCAGGCTTGTAGGTGCAATAGAGTCGGGAGGTTTCAATAGGGTCTGAGCTCAAGGCCCAACTAGACATGCTATCTTCTGGTTTATACTAAAAAAGCCAGTTTCTCCTGCAGCTTCTGGCAGTTCCAGCTAAGTAGGGCCATTCTGTCGGTAAGATTACAGACTTAGAGTAATGTTAGTGTTCCTTTAACATTTCCAAGTTTGTACTCTCCTCCTCTCTGCAGGTCCTTAGGATACAGCCACCCTCAACATGCCCTCTGCCCCACCCTGCCCTCTGGGATCTTTCTCAGTAAATAAGATCACTCAGAATCCTTCACTCTCCGCTCCACAGCTTTAGGTTTAAGCCCTGCCTCACTCGCTGTGCTGTGAACTCGTCCTTCTAGAAGAACAGCATCTTCCAGGAAAACACAGGATTCTCTCGCTGGCACCTTCTTCTTGACCATCCCTGCTTCCCCAAATCCCGAATCTAGATAAAGAACAACTTAAACTTGTTCTCGGGGGCACTTATTGTCCAACATCCAAAGCCTGGGACATAAACCACACGTACAATTTCTCAAAAGCACTTTAAAGTCGAAGGGTGAGTCCTGCTCTTTGCTCAGTTAATCAGAAACATCCAGATTCGGCTTTCTCTGATTCTACAGGTGCGGAGGATAACTGAGACTCAAAAGGTCAAGGGCCTTGCCCACGGAGCGGAACTCGAGTTCAGGCTCCTCGGTGCTCTAAAGCAAACGTGTACTGCTGAGACTCCTGCAGACCTAGGTTTGAATCCCGGCTCAGCCACGGAGTTCAGACAAGCGGCTTCACTTCCTCGTGCCCTCGTCTCATTCTGAAGACAACAAGATTTCCAATTCAGGACTGTTAGCAAGAGGATAAATTGTGTAGCAGCAGTGCCTGGCGCAAGGCCGCCGGAACTATAAATGTGAGCTCCCTTTCAGACCCCAAGCTTGGCGAGCTGCTTCTCCTATTTCTACAGCGGCTCCTCCCTCTCGGAGCTGCCCAGGCCACTGGGGGTGCCAACTGTGGAGCGATGTGTCGGTCTCGACGCTGCATCCGGTACCAGTGATCCTTAAAGAAGCTCTGGGGAGAGCGTTGGGGAGCGAACTGAAAAGGGGAGGCAGGAGTCGGATAGAGGGAGCTGGGTGGAACAGAGAGAAGGCTGGCACCCACCGCAGAGGGGCCCTCTACCCGGCCTGCACCTGCAGTGTCCCCAAGTGGGCGATACCCGCCCTCTTCCCTCCCTTTACCCCAGCTTCTTCCCATCCTAGCCGGCTCTGGGTAGTAGCCCCACTACATCCAAAGGCAAAGAGTGGTCCTCGGCGGCGTGGGCGCGTGGGTACGCGGGCTCTGCGTCTCCCGAGCTGCGGCCCCGCCCTTCTGCCCGCCCCACCCCCTCCAGGGCCCGCTGGCAGGAGGCGGGGCGTGCGCGCCGGGACCCGGACAGAGGGGGACGCGCGTGCGGCAGCTTCTCTCCGCTGGAGCCGCCAGGCAGAAGCCGTGGCTGCCGATCCCCGCGGACTGACAGTGGGCGGGGAGCGGAACGCGGGAGCCCGGCGCGCGTCGCCAGACAAGTGTTTTTGTACGAGGCCGCGGCGCCTGCCTGAACGCAGAGTGCACGGGATGCGAGCGGCTGCAGCGGCTGTGCCAGGAGGACCCGAGCGCCGTTGACCTGAGCGAGGGGACACACTCCCCCGGGTCGTCTGAGTGCGGGGGAGGGGACGGCGGGAGCGCGAGGCGCACGCCGGGCGGGGCAGGGGGTCAGTGATGACCGGGCGCGCGGGGAGGCAGCACGCCGCCGCCGCCGCCGCCCGGAGCATCTGCCGCCTGAGCTGCGGATCGCGGCCACCGCCCGGGCCATGGAGACGCTGAACGGCCCCGCGGGCGGCGGCGCCCCGGACACCAAGCCGCAGCCTGCCGGCCAGCATCACCGCCACCACCACCTGCACCCGCTGGCCGAGAGGAGGCGGCTGCACCGTGCACCCTCGCCTGCCAGACCGTTCCTCAAGGACCTGCACACGCGGCTCGCCACGGCCACCCCCTCTGCGGGCCGAGCCTCGACTCCTGCCGCTCCTCGCTCGCCTAGCCTTGCCGGGAAGGCGCCGCCGTCGCCCGGGCCCCCGGCCGCGCCCGGTCGCCTTTCCCGACGCAGCGGCGTAGTCCCCGGCGCGAAGGACAAGCCGCCGCCGGGTGCCGGAGCCAGGTTGGCTGGCGGCGCCAAGGCCGCCCCGGGGACCAGGAGGGCGGCGCGCGCGGGGCCCGCGGAGCCACTGTCCCGGGTCGGGAAGCCGGTTGGGGCCGAGCCACCGCCTGCCGTCGCGAAGGGCCGCAAAGCCAAGCGGGGCCCCGGGACGCCTCCATCTCGCGCCGTCGTGACCCCGGCTCCCGCCGTCCGGGTCCCTGCCGTGACCCTCTCTGTGACCTCGGTGGCTGGCTCTCGTATCAGCCACACGGACAGTAGTTCGGATCTCTCTGACTGCGCCTCCGAACCCTTGTCTGATGAGCAGCGTCTGCTCCCCGCTGCCAGCAGCGACGCCGAGTCGGGCACCGGCTCCAGTGACCGGGAACCCCTGCGCGGAGCACCCACTCCGAGCTCCGGATCTCGCGGGCCGCTGCCGGGCAGCCCGGAGCCCCCTACGCTGCTCGCGGCGCCCCCTGTCGCCAGTGCCTGTCTCGGGGGCCGTAGCAGCCCAGGCGGGGCCCCCTCAGGGTCCCCGGGACTCGGTTCTCAGGAGGATGTTGGGGGCCGAGTGCCACCGGAGCGGACTATTCTCGGGACCCTCAAGGATTCTAGCTTGGGCGAACAGCCCCGGCTCTTGGTGGTGGCAGAGGAAGAGGAGCTGCTGAGAGAGATGGAAGAACTGCGCTCGGAGAACGACTACCTCAAGGTGAGCGGCCGCCGGGGTGGCAGGTGTCTCGGAAGCTGACCCGGGATCCTCTGCCTTCCCTGGGGTCATGTAAGCTCGTCTCCTGGGGCCTCATTAACTCTTTACCCCTTCTTTGCCCCTAACTGCTACCTAAATCCACTAGCTTCTGGTAACTCTAAACTTGTGGGAGGACCTGTAGGTCTGGTTCCCCTCCCCCACTTTGCTCTTATTGTTTTTTAAGTCTTGCCTGTCTTTGCTGATGCCTTTGGCTATAAACAGCTTTGAATACATTGAGCCCTGCACTGTCACCGGTTGAAGAGGGTTATCTAGATGCCCAGCTGTAGTCCTACACGTGCACTTGTGTATGGTGTGGTTTCCAGGTGTCAGACTTACCTGCAAGAGGACCTGCGCGTTCAGAAAGAGCCGGGACATCATTCAGTCTCCTCGAGGTCTTTGGAGCATAGCAGAGGGGGCTGTCCTTTGTGATAAACAAAATTTAAATTCAGAACAGGCGCCTTGAACTTCGTGGCTGGTTCAGGGACTGCAGTATGTTTGTGAGCAACCCATTGTAAGTGACTTCAAGTAGGTTTTCAAACCCGGTGTCAGGAAAGGACACAGCAGCTCTTTCGAAGGAAATGTAGACTCCCACATACCGAGTGTTATCCAGTGGGGCCTGCTATCATTGGGATGGATAAACTGTCCCCTTGATGTTCTCTACGGGGCTGGCCTGCAGAGCAGAGAGTTTAGACAAGAGTTGGGGGATAAGTTAAAGACAGCTGAGGTGATTTAGTAAGAGAAACCATAGGGGGATTGTCGTGAGCTGTGACTTAATTTGTTGTAATCCTCAGGTTAGAAAATAACTCCAGGAATGGAAATCTGCTCACACATCTGTCCAGATCTTGTTGAACATCCTCTCTCGGGCCAAAGCCCAGGGTGTCCTCAATTTATGTGATTTGAGCTGTTTTGTTTGCAGGTGGTGAACCTGCCTGAATGAGGCCCTGTGTTGAGGCTGCGGTGGAGGTTCAGGCTTTTAAGGCTATAGTAATGAAATATACAATTCAAGCTGGGATTTGACACCTCCTTGTGGGTGCTCAGAACCCTCATCAATGATCAGAAGTTACTCAGTTGATCAGTGATAAGTTAGGTTGTCTTATGCAGACCAAGGCAAGCAGGAGATCAGAGCTCTTAGGTATGCTTCCAGTAATGCATTTGCCTTTGTCATTTGGTCTTATGTAATAGGTAGCAGAGAGTGTTTCAAAGGTGTGGACTGGAAAAGCTGCTACGTGGTGTGTGCCTCTCGTGCAAGCAGCACTGTGCAGATATGCCTGGCCACCTCAAGGTCCAGGCAGGGCGAGAAAAGAAACCATGTTTTTAGCCCTAGCCGGAAGCTTAACCTGTGGCCTATGACCTACAGTAGCTCTCTGATCAAATCACACGAATCCAAATTAAAACTGCTGAGTGACAGAGAATGGAGTTTTCTTTCAAGAAAGTGTTTGTCTCTGCACCCTTGATCCCAGAGCAGGCAACTTAGCTGTCATTTCCAAGTTCATTCTTAGATAACTGTATCTCTCCTGCCCATTTACTTGATTTTAAACACATGATTAGATCCTCTGTGACTGGACTCATCAGTGTGTTTGACATTTCATGGGCCCTTAGTAACATGGGAACTGGGTTTTGCCCACACACCCCCACATCCCATCATTTTAGGTGTAAAAGCCCTGCCAGGGCATGCTACGTAGGATCTGTGCTACTGCCCTCCAATCCCTGCTGCTGATATTGACGACTCCAATTCCTCAGACAAGATGCTAAGTATCAGACACTCAAGGTCTTGCCCGGGGTTACCCCGTCCCCCCCCCCCCCCCCACAAAGTGGTGTTCCTTTCTCTTTACCCCTCCTGACCCTGCAAACCAGGCTGCTCAGGCTGCTCCCTGTTTGCCAGCAAAGCTGTTCTCTGGCTTATACCCATTCACTGCCTCTGAGCTCCCTAGGAAAAACCACTGGTTTTCCTAGGGAAGGGGAACCTCTGTTTTCTCCTCAGGTGAAAGGCCCATATCGAGTATCTCACAGTAGCCTCTGTTTGAAGGGCCACAGAGATCCCATGGGTAAGGTTTGATTTGCAAGAACAATTATTCAGTAGCTGCTTCCTGGGGAGAAAGTGTCCTGGCCATCTGTTTGCTGAGCCTGAGGAGTCTATCCTTCAGTCTCTCCTTGCACAGCAGGAGAGTTAGTGAGAGGGGTCTGAAGGAGAGCAGAGAGCCAAAGTCATTGCCCATGTGTATATGCCATGCATGTTATGGTAGTTTAACTTCCAAAAGAACAATAATCGTACTGGGCTCTCCCACAGGCCAGTGAGCCTGCCCACTCACTTAGACATCATTTGGACTGTGTATAGGTGAACCCGATGAAGCTGAAGCATGGGCCATAATCAGTCCCCTTTTTTCCCCCCACAAGGTAGCTAGAATGCACACATCATAAACTTAATTTTGCCTTTTGCTTATTGACGTTGCCCTGCAGTCTCCCGACTCCCGGTAGAGGAGTGTGTTCTTCTTGCACAGAACTCCTGAGATGATACACAGCATCTGTCAGGACCAGTGTTCTCTAATAAGAAATTTGGTGCAGAGGTTTTCTGTCTCTACATTCTGGGGGTTTTAGTTATTATGATATTTCCTGAGAGAAAGCTGGTAACCATTGTTGTGCAGAACTTTCACAGTTGACCAGAGCATCTGGAACAGGAGAATCAGGTGGACATTCTGAGAGGATGCCCCGTTGGTAAGGAAATAAAAGGGACATCTCTTTGACTAGTATGCTCCCTCTCTTATGTTGTGTGGAGCGTGTAGAGTCATCCTTGATCTCATGCCTGGTCTTTCATCAAAGGACACTAGGTAATTAGATGAAAAGAGCAGACCACCTCGGTCCAGGAGACTGGCTTCTGCAGGAAAAGTATACACAGAAACACACTTGAGATGTCATCTGACCTCTGATGACCTCACAGATAATATTCAAAAATTAAGACTAGGATAGGTATCCAATGCCTTTGGGTCTTAGACAAATCCAGGCAAGTTTCTTAATGCTGGAGACTGATTTCCACCGGTGAGGGGGAAGGCAAAAGAAAGAGGAAAAAAAAAAAACTAGTTTGGTTCCTTGGTTCCTCCCTGCCTGATGTTTTGCTTGAGTGCTCTAGGACAATCAGACAAGCAGGCTGCTCGTTGTCAACATACTAATTATGCCTTCCATTTCTACAGACTTTTCACAAAGTAATCTCCGAGTCCATTGGCTGGTTTTGAAAATGCTCTTAGCAATCATACTTTTTACTATGAGGGGCTCACAGCCTGGCCGGGATTGGTGGACCCTGCATCCTGATGTCCTGTGCAGTAGACTAATATTAGGTGGTCACAGCCTGGCTCGGGACAGTAGACCCTACATCCTGGTGTTCTGTGTGCTGGGCCAGTGTTAGGATAGGAAGAACGGTTTCTTTCTGCTTGCTTGCTCTGTTCCCAACTGTTATTTTCTTAGAATCATTTTTACTTAAAAATGAGGGCAGATAACTATCTCCTTAGGAGTTATCACTGAGGTTTTTGGTTTGGGGGGGAGATGCTGTGGATTGTCTCGTGTGTACTAAGCGAAGATGCGTCACTGAGAACACTCCCAACCACTGAAGTTTGGGGAGATTTTTAGTTTCAGGCTGACTTGGTTTGTTCCATTTCGCTGGCTGGATGCCAGGTGCTCAGCATAGCCTGAGGGTAGGGTGGTGGTATGGGCAGGAACCAGCATCTTAGCAGCTGGAGGGTCATCTCATCCTTGCTCCTGGTCCCCTCCCTTCCCCCTCCCTTTTCTTTGTGGGGGGTATCAGCATGGATGGTATTGGTTATTGTCTCCTGACATTCTGTTTCCCATAGGCATTCTTTATTCAGCCCTGAAAGGACCAGGATGCAAATCTTAGGTGGCAAGATGTTGTGGTCCGAGACTGTAGCCACTCAGCTGCCGGCTGGACTGTCACTTGGTCAACAATAGTAGCAGTCCCTGGGCCTGCTGAGCCACAGCTGGTCTCTGCACAGAACATTTCCATTGTCCCAAAGGAAATGAGGCGTATTATTCCTATATGACAAAAGACAGCAGTTTCTGCCTTAGACTCCCAGAAGAGGAGAATATTGCAACAGTAACCAAAGGACTGTTTGTGTTCCGCTGGGTCTGTTTACACAGAATCATTTGATGGAGAAATAGTTACTGATCTGATTTTTTTTTTAAGTTCACACACAAAGTGATGGAGGGATTTCATTAAGTCATTTCCACACATATATGCCCTTAATCTGCGATTAAAAGAGATGGAGATTTGAATCTAATTGTTAGTATGAGCTGTCTAGAGTTTTAGTTAATTATACCAAGAAATCCTGCATTTGCTTTTTGTGGATAAAGTTATTTTACTCACCTGCACGCATGGCACCCATAAGTCTTCCAATTTGATGTCTGTTAAAAAGCCCGACTCGTTGCCTGTAGCAAAGGGGAATTGTTGGACAGCTTCACACAACTTCAAGAATCCATTTTATGTAAAACAGTTTTAAAATATAGTTAATGGTTAGCAAGGTGGCATAGTAGATAATGCCAAACCTGAGTCTGCATCCACCTGGTAGGAGAACCAATTTCTGAAAGTTAATTCCCTGGCATCCTTATGAGTATGTGATATGTATCCTGTCCCACCAATGAATAAATACAATGTAATACTTTTTTTTTTACAGATCAAAATATGTCATACAAATGTAAAGACTGTTTTTTGTTTGTTTGTTTTATTGTTGTTGTTTTTGGAGATTGGTTTCTCTATGCAGCCCTAGCTGTCTTGGAAATGACTCTGTAGACCAGGCTGTTATCAAACTCACAGAGATCCACCTGCCTCTGCCTCCCAAGTGCTGGGATTAAAGGCATGTGCTACTACTGCCCAGCTAAAAACTAGGTTTTTCAATCAGATGACCTAATATTTAAATAATCCAAACAGCCTAATGTTAAAACAAAGCAAAGCTATTAAGGACAGCTTTTTTTTTTTTCCTTTATCATTCCTGTGTATAAAAGGACACCAGGCTGGAGAGATGTCTGTGTAGTTAAGAGCATTTACTCCTCTTGCAGAGGCCCTGGCTATTATTCCCAGCAGCCACAATCACAACTCTCAAGGATCTCTTGCCTTCTGTCCCGAAGGAAACTGCACATACATGGTTCATATTTGTACAGGCACATACACATAAAAATAAATTTTTGTTTTATTTGGTTTTGGTTTGTTGGATTTGAGTTTTTTTTAAATGATTTTATTTTATTTTATTTTGAGACAGGGTTTCTCTGTGTAACCCTGGCTGTTATAGAACTCAATGTAGACCAGGCTGGCCTCGAACTCAAGAGATCTACCTGTCTTTGCCTCCCAGGTGCTTTCACCACCACTGACTGGCTGAGAAAATTTTAAAAAGGGAAGAAAGAAACTTATGTGTGTGAGAGATGTCAGAATTTTCTACTTTACTTACTATATCGAAATTATATCTGCCTGAAACACTGCATGTTCTGCTTTGCCTGATTTTCTTGAATTTTTGAAAAAAAAAATGGCAGACATCTTTAAGGATCAGGAACTGTCTTCTGAAATCTAGCATATCCTCCTCAGTAAGTTAACCTAAGGTAGTGTTAGTCTGAAAATCACAATCCACCGTGACCCTAGTCCAAATGGCAATGTTTTTCATTTTGCAGGGAGCTGTGGCCATCTTACATAGTTATTAATTTGCCTCTGTTGTAACTGACTTTCACTAGACCTGAAGAACACACTTTCCAAGGCTGCAAAGAGAGTTGAAACACCAGCCTCAGTTTACCTTTGAGGCAGCCCTGCTGTGGTAGGAAGACATGGAGCTCTCGGGGTCTTGGTGTTTGAAAGGAGAATTGTCACTGGCCACCACGGTGTTCTCTGGAGCTGATTGCTCTGATGGGTGTATGCTATCCACTCTGAGGCTGTAACTGCTAAGCAGCTTTTCTTAGTTTACGTGGATGTTTGGCTTTTAAAGGCACAATTGTAGGTTTGTTACTGTTCCATCTGCCCTTCTAACAGCTAATTTGTTGTATTTACTAGAAGCTTGAGTGTCTGTGGTAGCAGACAGCCATGTTTGCAGTCTAGCTTCCTTTATTAGCTCTGAGACTCCGGCTAGATTATGGGGTCTGGCTTCAGTTTGGTTTCTTTGACTCTAAAAAGGGAGGTTTATTTTAGGGTTAGCATTGAGAGAGTAAAGTACATAATATAGGTTGCCTTCTGTTTCAGAAAATATATGTAAAATACGAGGTTATAGAAACAGTGTTTGAAATGAGAATAATTCTGGTCTTTTTCTGGCTTTCTTTTCAGTTCTACCAATAATATTGGTGATAATTTGTGCCCAAAATAAGATTATCTGTTTACATAAGGCCTGTCCAGTTATTTGGATATGTCAACATAAAAACCACCACTTTTATCTTAAAGGGAATGAAAAATAGTTTATTTTGGAGCCATTTTGATCAAGTGATCGTGGCCAAGGAATGCAGATTTAGGTCACCCCAAATTCCATGTTCCCACGTGAAAGCAGTTTCACGGGGTTTCTTACAATTTTACAGAACGCAGAAAGTCGTATGTCAGGGCAACTTTAGAATGCATTAGTGGGTACAGTGGAGAGGCAGGTACAGTGAAATGGGAGAAGTTTTTCTACAGGTCCAGGATGCTTAGCTCTCAGACTGGTGGAAGCCAGTTGTTCCGATGAGTTAATAGCTTATAGGAGTTTTTATTTATTATCATGAGGTGTTAGTTTAGATACAGAGTGGGTCGAGGAATGGCTGTTCCAGAAGGCTAACACTAGCCCAAGATAAAATGATTAGCTTCTGAACCTACAAAACTCTAACCTCTCCACGGTACTGAAGTTCTAGTGCCTGTCAGTCTCTGCAGACAGACCCCTTCACGTTGATTTTTGTTCACAGCCAGACACAGCTTCTTTTCAGGGATATCTGTTCACAGAGGTAAAAATACATCTAAAACTGGTTTTAGCTGGTCAGAGTTATTTACTCATCTTTCTTGCACAGCAGAGTGGGTGAGGTTCCTGTGTTGTAATGTGAAAACTAGGGAGCATATTTATAGCTGAGAACTGTGTTTTCTATTTTCTTACATATACAGAACAGGTAATTCCAGATATTAATTCTTTGGCCTGTTGGGGGTTTTTTTGTTGTTGTTGTTTTGTTTCGTTTTTTGTTTTGTTTTGTTTTGCTTTTTGAGACTCATGACCAGACTGGCTTGAAACTCACAGAGCTGCCTCTTGCTCCTAAGAGCTGGGGTTAAAGGTGTATACCACCACAGTCAGCAGAATAGTTTAGACTTACAGTGATATTTTCCACGTTAACATAGAACATTCTGTAAGAGGCTGAGATTTTTATTTGTCCATTAGCAAGTAGGTAAAGGTTTCTTTGTATGGTGTGTGTGTGTGGTATTTGTGTGTACTGCATGTGTGTGTTCAGATTATCCATGATAATCTTCAGGATATTTCTTTCCATTCAGGGCTCTGTTGAGCTGGGGCTCAGAGGCTGGGAAATGTTCCTTATTGTAAGTAAACCCCCAGCTTTAAGAACAAATCAGGATTATGAAGGGTAGTGAGAACCCCAAGAAGCCTGGAACAAACTGAATAGCCAGGCAAAAGAGGGCTGGCTATATAGGGTGTTCCATTGTGGGTGAGAGAGTTTCTTATTTTTCTTGAGCCTCAGTATTAATTGATCAAAATAAGTAGGAATAACTGAGGACTTCTTATTCTGTAGGCATTTGAGTCACCAATTACTAAACAAATTATGAAACATTCTAGAGTGCTTTCCTTAATGTTCTTCTTATATAGTTCGCTCTTTCTCAAAATAGTTCAGGGTACTTTGCTAGGTTATGTATTCTGTAGTCTGCAGCAACATTTACTGGTTCGGGAAGGTTTCTTTTTTTTTTTTTTTTTTTTTTTTTAATTATTTTTTTTTTTATTGGTTTTTTTTTTTTTTTTTCCATTTTTTTCCCTTACCCCATCCCCCACCATCCCCTCGGAACCCCCAATCCCCTCGCACCTCCTCCTTCTTCTCTGTGGATGTAACCTCTATCTACCCCCCCCCACTCCCACCTCCCCACCCTCAAAATTCCCACCCCCTGGGGCATCCAGCCTTCATGAGGTCAAGGTTCGGGAAGGTTTCTTAACTAGACTGCCAGATTGGAGCAAAAATTTGAGTTCCCTTGTTTTGATGATTTGGTCTTTTCTATGTGTTGATGATGTTTCCACAAACATTTTTAGAGAGCCCACTGTGTGCCTTAGGCTGCTCTGGTTACAGGGAAGGGCCGGCAGACAAAGTTTCAGGCCTTCATGGCTTACTTCAAGGGTAGGTTGAAGAACATGAAAAAAAAATACACAAATAACACTAAATGGTGATAAGAAGATGGGAGTACACACACACACACACACACACACACACACACACACACACACACACGATGGACACAGACACCCTGACCCTGGGGCTGGTCAGGAAGTCCTATCAGTTACTTTACACATTCCAGGAAGGAAGAAAAGCAGGTAAGGGCTATGGGCCGTGAGGAGCCCTGGGAAGGGAAGTTAGTCAGAATTCTGAGGAAGAAAAAGTCCTGAAGGGTTTTGGTAGGGGTAGAGTCATCTCATTTACATACTAAAGGTTAACTCTGCAGGTAGAGATTTAGACTGGGGAAGGATTTGGAGGCCCTCTTTGGAGGCCCGGGGAAGCTTAGAGCCTTGAAGGGATTTGCTTATGCTTGGGATTGAGGCCGAAACCTGAATTGGGATTTGGGAGCTGGGGAGGAGAGTCACCCACTGAGACGTTAATAATGCTTCCGGGAGTGTGGGCTGTAGGGAGGGAGCGAAGCAGGGAGCCGAAGCAGGGAGCTGGAGGCAAAGCCTCAGTTAAGGAAATGTTTTTACCTGCAATTCAAACTCATCTCCTTTCAGGGTTCAAACTCATCTCCTTTCTCACTCAGTTCCTTGGGTTTAGGCTGATTTTATAGACAGGAAAAGACTGGAGAAAGCAGTAACAAAGAACAAAGCAGATTGTTTCAAAGTTACTCTCCCTGAGAGGCAGGACCAAAGAGCCGGACCAGAGAAAAATAGATGGTGTCAGGTTACCTCAGGTTACTCTCCTCCCTGGTGCTGTTTAAAGCGAGGGAGAGTTTGTCACCACAGTGTTGAAACTGGTCTGTTTGGGACCTTTGGTTATCAGTTCTCCCTGTTTTTTCAGAAGGTCACATGACAACAGTTTTTTGTGTGGTGGTATGGGAAACTTAGTATGATTTCATTTTGATATTCAGGCTGATCCATGCAGGGGCCTAAGGCCAGAGCTCAGTGTAGAACAGTGGACTCTAATTTTGTGTGATGCTTTTGCATTTAGAGAGTGCTTATCTTTATAGTAAAGATGGGAGGTCTGGGAAATGCAGGATAGGAGATTGGGAGGGAAAAACAAACTCAGTGTGTGTTTGAAATAATGGAAAATGTTTCTAATTAGATAGAATCACTTAGCGCTGACATTTGTATTGTGGAATAGGATTTTAGAGATGTTTGCAGGCTTGCAGGAATTCCAGGGCAATCAACAATTATTATCCTACTAAAATTTATGTCTTTCAGAGGGGGAAGGTCTATCTGGTTCATCCTGGTACCTAAATTGTACCTTTGGCTTGGATCTGAAGGCTTAATTATTTGCAGAGCAGATTCCACTTCTGGATATATAAGGAGATAGAAGCTGTGGGGAATCATAGTGACTTGGTGACATCATCTCATGTAGGATTTCCAGCAGTCCCTTGCTGCTTCATCCTGAATGGCTACCAGCTGATGGGTGTATGCAGGCATTTGACATAATAGTGTATTGGGTGGAGTGGGGTGGGCTCTCTTTTAGAGAGAACTACATCCTTCTAGCTCTCTCCTGCCAAGGTCTGGCTCACCTTCCATGTCTGGATTCCTAGGACGAGCTGGATGAACTTCGAGCAGAGATGGAGGAGATGAGAGACAGCTATCTGGAGGAGGACGGTTACCAGCTGCAGGAGCTCCGGAGAGAGCTGGACCGTGCTAACAAGAACTGCAGAATCCTGCAGTACCGACTCAGGAAGGCTGAGCAGAAAAGTCTGAAGGTGGCAGAAACAGGGCAGGTGGACGGGGAACTTATCCGAAGCCTGGAGCAGGACTTGAAGGTGAGTGAGATCCATCCCTCCGTATCCTGTTCCTAGGAAGCTGAGACAGTAACTCCAGACACCCACCCAATACATTTTACTACTGCTCTTGCAGAGGACCTGGATTCGACTCCTACATCCATCCACAGGGTGGTTTACAACCCATCTATAACCCCATCTCTATAATCTACCATGCCCTCTTCTGGTCTCAGTGGGCACCAGATATGAACATGGTGTGTCGACCATATATGTAGGCAAAATACCTCTACACATGAAATAAAGTAGATCTTAAAGAGAGCGTAAAAAAGAATGAGACTCACTGGTTGAAGTGACTGAGAAGAAATCCCAGACTCTCTATCCTTTGCTCCCAGTGTGGACTGCAGAGATGCCCTGGTCCAGTCATTTATGTAGATATACAAGGTGTCCTCCAGCGTGTGAGCATGTGAGATCTCATCTGGCTTTCCATATAGCAGGCGTAATCTTTGCAATTCTCAGTTGTCAGCCACTAACAAAGTGTCACTCAGTGTAAGAAAGGGTGATTTAGCCGGGCGGTGGTGGCGCACACCTTTAATCCCAGCACTTGGGAGGCAGAGGAAGGCAGATTTCTGAGTTTGAGGCCAGTCTGATCTATAGAGTGAGTTCCAGGACAGCCAGGGCTACACAGAGAAACCCTGTCTCGAAAAACCAAAAAGAAAGAAAGAAAGAAAGAAAGAAAGAAAGAAAGAAAGAAAGAAAGAAAGAAAGGGTGATTTATAGTTCTCCTACTGCCTTTCCTCAGTCACTTTTAAAATATAAAGGAGCTTTAGATCGGAGAGAAAGCTCAGTAGTTAAGAGCACTAGCTATTCTTGCAGAGGACCTGGGTTTCATTCCCAGCACCAACCTAGTGGTTCACAGCCATCTACTACTTTAGTTCCAGGGGATATGACACTATCTCCTGGTCTCCATGGGCACTGCATATAAAACACACAGGCAAAACGCTCATGTACACAAAATAAAAAAGAAAATTAAGGCACTTGGGAGGCAGAGGCAGGCAGATTTCTGAGTTCGAGGCCAGCCTGGTCTACAGAGTGAGTTCCAGGACAGCCCGGGCTATACATAGAAACCCTGTCTCAAAAAACCAAAAAAAGAAAAAGAAAAAGAAAATTAAGAAGAAAGTAAAAGGTTGATTGCTTTGAGCCTTGCAAGGTTTTAACCACACTAGACGCACAGAGAATCTTTGAAAACTTGGTTGTATGGAATGTGTACTGCATACAGTAGATGTTTAATATTGATTTATTTGATAGAAAGTGTACGAGGTCAGGGGGAATTGGCATTCTTGGTAGTACACCGTGAGGAAACAGCCCTGCCCAGGCCTTGTCGTTTATGAAAGCCACTGCGTAGTTTTTTTTTTTTTTTTTTGTCAGCTTGACACAAGCTAGACATGCCTGAGAGAGGAGCTCTCAGTGGAGAAAGTCTATAGATAAGTCTGTAGGACATTTGATTGATAATTGATGGGACAGAGCCCCACCCATTCTGGGCAGTGCTATCCCTGAGCAGATGGTCCTCAGTGGTGTAAGAAAACAGGCTGCAGGGAACTCATGGGAAAAAGTCAGTAAGCAACATTGTCTCATGACGTAGAACTGTAAGGTTTATTTAACCTTTCTCTTCCCAAGTTGTTTTTGGTCACGGTGTTTTATAACAGCAATAGAGACACTAGCTAGGACAGTATTCTTTATTCAAAGTGTTTGGGTCTGAAAGTGGTTCTGATTCTGGAGCATTTCAGATGCTGAGATTTTGGATCAGAGATGCTCAACATGTAGTACTTTCTTCCGTTAAGTGTAAGTCACGTATTTCCTGAATTCTTGCTATGACTAAGTCACTTAATGACTCTGCCTCTGAGGCTGTCTGACTATTATTATTTCCGTGGCATCCCCCAGATTCCATATCCTGACATGATCCCCGTGTGTTCAATGCAGGTAGCCAAAGATGTGTCTGTCAGATTACACCATGAACTTGAGACCGTGGAGGAGAAGCGTGCTAAAGCTGAAGATGACAATGAAACGCTCCGGCAGCAGATGATCGAGGTGGAGGTATCCAGACAGGCCCTCCAGAATGAGCTGGAGAGACTGAAAGAGGTAAGGCAGAGACTTGGGAACAGTACTTTCTCCCCTTGTTAAGACTTAGGGACCCCTCACACCTCATGTCACAGAAACACACAGATGCAAAGAAGATTATGGAATCAAGATTGTAGATTGCTCGAAAAGCCTGAAATATTTGCTATCTGGCCCTTTACATAAAAGGCTTTGGGACTCTGGTCTAAATTCATGTCTTACTTCTATTCAAATGAGCAGGCCATTATTAATCCTTTCAGTGTGTCTGAGTGCAGTGTATTATTTCTAAAGTACATTAAATTCACATTAAATAAATTAAACAGAAGCTTCTTCACGCAGCTCCCCCCCCCAATCTTTTCTTCCAGTGAGATGGGGGGGGAATATTTTATTTGTCGAACAAAACTGTTAACAGATGAAAGTGGTGGCTCATGCCTTTTAATCCTGAGCCAGCACTTGGGAAGCTGAGGCAGGTAAACCTGTATGAGTTCAAGGCTAGTCTGATCTCCATAGTCAGCTCCTAGCCATCCAAGGCTACATAGACCCTGTCTCAAAACAACAGCAAAAAAGCCCTTTGTAGATAAGTGCGACACATACATGCTCACTTGCACACACATATCTATACATCATTCAGTCAATATGATTCAAGCATAGCTATCTATTTATAGAGATAGAGATTTTCTAAAGTTAAACTGATTATGCTAGCAAAGCAGTCTAGAATAAACCACTTGGTTTGCATATGGCACTGTGGATCCTGACTTGACTTTCTTTCTGACTTCGTTATTTATAAGAGCAAAGCAGTGTGTTTCCTTGGAAAGCGCCCTGCGCATACTGATGTAATGCAGAAGTCCTGGGGAAGGCTGCTTCCAGCTGGCACATGACTCGCTGACAGCCTCATGTAGCAGGTCATGTCTTCTGAGTACATTTCTTATTTCGTTCAGTCATTCCCATCCAAGTGTCCTGCATCACACTTTGTTCAGATCCTGAGCTCTGGGACCGAAGGCATAAATGTGCACTCCCATTCCTCAGGGTACCTGGGGTCTGTGTAGCAGAATACAAACCACTGCAAAGATGCTGCCACCTCTTGTGTCCCTCGCCGCTTTTGCTCGTGGTCATACAGGCTCAGAAAATTCTTGTCTCTTACATCCAGTTCTGCCAATGTTCCTTCCTCTGTAATGTGAATGCCATTGAATGGGTGCAGGGTTTGTCGGTTTGTCTGTCTGGTTCACAGTTTGGTTCATCTACCTTTGTGCTTGGATTGATGACTGACACATGCCAAGTGAGGGAACCAACTCAGAGATAATAATAATATAACACTGTGATAGTGGCAGCTTGTTGGGCTAGGGGTGCGTATTCTGCAGAGATCTAACACAGTCCAGTAGGCTAGCTGCTGAAAGCACTTTCCTCATGAGTAGAGCATGCCCCTTAACTGCTGCCTGGATTCACCCCCAGGTTTGGGGAGTTTGCCCACTAGTCATGAATTTTTGCCTCATTTACTATCCCTGAGACCTTTTACTGTCTGCTGGTTTTCTTTTGGTCTAAGTTTTCTGAAACCGTGATCTGTGTTTTACAGGTCAAGCCCTATCAGTGTGCATAAAAAACAATTCAGAAGTATATTTTATAAGATTGATCTGGATAGATGTTTTGGTATTAATATGTAGCCATACATGTTCTAGTTGTATACATACATGTAACACATGTACATATATATATACATGCATACATACATACATACATACACACACACATATGTGATATCAGGAGATTCTAGGAGCCACACAAGAATGGAAGTCCATAGATATTCAAGTCTCTTATATAAAATGATATAATATAGAACTTGAACACATCTGCATACTTGAAATCACTTCTACACCTGATTCATAATATCTGAATACAGTATAGTCACTATGTAAATAGTTGTTTTGTTATGTTGCTTAGGGATTAATCATAAAAATCTAGTCTATGTAATCAGATTTACAGAAATATTCTTTTGCGGACTATTTTATATCCCTGGTTGGTTGAATCTGCAGGTGTGGAACACAAGGATACGGAAGACTGATTACCTACTTATCTTAAGCAAGGCAAGAGTCTGCATATGTTTAAATGGATTTGTGTAAGACTTGAGATCTCTTGGGAGGAAGACATAATTGCTGTTGCTTTTGACATTAAAAGAAAGGCCAGAGGAAGCAGGGGTCATCTTGGAGCCTGATGCTGGCCCAGGTAGATGTAAAGAGTGATGTGGAAGGATCAGGTTCCCCTGCCATGGGTTAAAATGATACAGAAGGATGACTCAGTTGGGATAGAATAAATTTTCTCCCCCATGCAGTCAATCCAGTACAATGATATTTTTAAAAATACTAAACTATTAAGGTATTGTATAACATACAAGAGTCTCAGGAGAGCCAGACACTGGCAGAGGGTGCTGGACGCAGAGAAAGATAGAGCCTGGGGATGTAGGGTCCCAGGGTGGTGGGAGAGAGATTACTGGGACTTGCCAGCTGCTGTCTCTGTTGATGGATTATTTTCACAAAAGCTGAAAAATGCACAGTTGAGTTTGGCTCAGTGAGCTTTGTTCTTTGTGGCTCATCCTGACATTTTGTGAGCAGATGCAGGGTGACCTGAAGCTGCGAGGGCTTTCCCTGCTTCTCTACAATAACGGAGTCCTTGTGTGGGACCGGGTGGCCTCAGAGGACCCGAGCAGCTCTACTACGTCCTTCCATAGAGCTCTGTGGTTTTCATAACTCAGGCACCGGTAGACACCACCAAACACTTCCCATTACATTAAGCTCTCTTCTGGCTCTCCTAGGTCTGCAGTTCCCCAGGGCTTTTGGCGGCCACAGTCCTTTGTGTCCACCTTCAATGATTTGCCTCCATCTTTGGACTCTGTTCTGCTTTTTCAGTGATGATTGGCTTTACAAAATTCTTGTAACCTGGTGACCAGTTTTCAGTTGTTATGAGAAGGAAGGGCCAGCTTGTCTGAAGGCCTGGAATTGCCTTGAGTGTGTTTCGGAACCAGACACAGGTGGTAGTTGTATACTACGTGCGACTACACCAAATGCTGTTGGTTTATACACTTGGATGGTTGGTTTTATGTGAGTTTTAGCCTCGGTTGATTGGTTTCCTTTTTTCTGTCATACTTGCCCAATATTTTGGCTGAAGATGTGGGCTGACTGTATGCATTAAAGTGCACTCATGGTTTCCAACCTTTTTCTCCTTTACATCCCAGAGTTCTGACAGCATCCTCTTAGTCTTAGACAAATTTGCCCAGGCTCTCAAGTTGTTTAATTTTTTAGGGTAGCACTAAAAAGGGGACCAGCACTAACTGGCCTTCACTTTTTCTCTCTCTGTCCTCCTTCCCCATCCACCATGCAGACTTCAGATCTGGAAAGGGTTATCAGAGGGTGATAAAGCCCCCCACCTCCTGTTGTGTTTTATTTAAAAAAAAGGAAGCCAGGAATATGTTTGGTATGCTCGTGGGAGGGGGGTTGCCTTTGGGGGGGGCATGCTGAGGCATCCCTTCCCCCTGAGGTACCAGCCGCACGAAGATGGCCTGTTTATTTAGGGCATGGAGAGGGGATTTGAGGGAGTAGAAATAGAAAAAGATGGTGGAGGGGGAAGAGGAAGCGAGGACAGAGAAAAGAGAGAGAGAGAGAGAGAGAGAGAGAGAGAGAGAGAGAGAGAGAGAGAGAGAGAGAGAGAAAGTATTGTAGAGTAGAGGCTGGCCATGAGCACGTGGAGAGATGGGGGAGGGGAATGAGGAGAGAAGGGACAGAGAGGAAGGAGGAAGAGAGAGAGGAGGGGATAAGTAGCCTTTTTATACTGAGTCAGACATACCTGGCTATTGCCAGGTATCTGTGAGGTGGAGCATAGAAGGAATGCTGACTGCCCCCCACCCCAACACACACACACACACACACACACACACACTCTCTCTCTCTCTCTCTCTCTCTCTCTCTCTCTCTCTCTCTCTCTCTAAATGAAAAGAGGTATGTTTTGAGACACCCACTTTCTCCATTGAAAAGTTGGAAGGCAAGAGTAACATATTCGGTCTGGTCTTCCAGTTATTTTCCGTGCTGGCTTGTTCATGGTCCCTGCAGACCCGTTGCCCTGAGTTGAAGCTGTTGCTCTCCCGAACTCCCCAGTGTTATTTCTTCTCAGCTTGGGCACAGTATCTCAGAAAGTGTAAGTGGGTAACCGAGGCTTAGCTTCCACTTTGCAAAGATGTTAATTCTACCATAGCCCCTCCCCTGACTTTTTGCATACAGTTATATAGTAGAGACAGCTAATGACTAATCGTAGACACAGCTAATAACTAGCCATATTAATCGGCCATTGGAAAGGACAGAGGTGTGTCATCTGACTGGATCAATACTGTAGGAAAGAGTGTCAAAAGACAAACTGAATGTCAGAGTCCATCAATCTGTAGTTGTGATTTTGAGATTTGGGATGGTTTCTGTTTCATAAAATGAATGACACCTCCCAGTGGACCAGTTTGTAGAGTAGAAACAGGGAAGGAAGACTTGGGAAGAAGAAGCCTGATGGGTATGGTTCCAGTTACTGCTCCGTGCAGGATCACATCAGCAGTAGGAAATTGATCAATTGTGGATTTGACTGTTCAGTCTCTCCTGGTTTCTTTGAAGGTCAGGTAGGCATGTCATTTTCATGTGGTGTGTGGAAGTTAACCTGGAGAATTTTATTGTGGTTTGCTTTGGTTCGACAAGCCTACTGCAGGAGCTCAATTCAAACAAATCGCCTCATGTTTTATTTAATAGAAGCCACAGGCTTCTGAGCAACCTTCCTGACTCTGGGTGAGATATTGGTTCTGGGTCTGTGCTTAGTAAATGAGTGGTTAGATATTCCAAGTCTGGGTGGAGATTTTTATATAATTCCACTAGAGTGAAGTTTTAAAACTTTGTCAGCTACCTGGAACAGGGAGAACATTTTATATAGTCTCTCTGTACAAATGTAAAGGATTGATGAAATCCTGATTCTCCATCAATGGGGTCTACTATATTTTCAGTCCTGTT